CCTGAGCCATATAAGCCTTTTTTTCACATGTTTAGAGATATCTCTTCAACCCTGAAAAAACCTAGCTGCAGTCCTATGTCTGGGTTTTGGAATTTCAAAGGTAGAATTGATGGGGGGGGCCCCAAAAGGTGGGGCTTTGTCCTAGATCTTAAAAAAGTCAACTGGATAATCACTTTTCTTGGGTGTTTTTGTAAAAAGTAAAAAAAAAGCTCAATAAAAATAAACCTGGTCTATATTGCTCCAAGTTTGAGTAAGAGCCAAACCTGATCTTTGCATTTAGGTATTTGCAGTGCTTTTGTTCTAAAAAAAAATTAAATGTTATGGGGTACTCTCATTTTCCTACTCATATTGAAATACTGCCTCTCAATAAGGTCAAACTTTGATTCACAAAATGTTTAGGGGTAGCGCCCCCCCCCCGAAAAAAGCACTGGATATTTGAAACCTGCAGGTATTTGAGAAATGCAAATTGCACCAGCTGTGTGGGGAATCCTTGAATCAGAGCAGGTGAGAAATTTAACCCTTTCCCCTCCTGCTGAAGTCCTGGGGAATTATCTCTTCCCTGAAGCTGCCAGTGGAGGAATCCCACACACCCCCAGCAAATACTCTACTTCAGGAGAGCACCTAGCAGAGCAGGAAAGGGTTATATGTCCCTTGACTCTCCATCTACAGATCTGTGAGGCAGCTGGCCTTGTGAAGGTTTACAAAGTCTGATTAGGCCATCAGCTCTTGTTTCAGCCCCACATCATATCCAGCGATAGGGACGCACCTTTATTTATTTCCTGCCCTGCCTTCCAAAGGAGCCCAGGGTGGAAAAGGCTTCAGTAATCAAAAAATAAAATTGTTTAAATACAATTAAGCACCATAAAATGTCTGAAGCATGTGGTTGTTTGCCAGGATTAGTAGCAGAATGCACGTCAAGTGCTGAATTACGTATTAAATGTGTTTGCTAAGACTAGACCTTCCCCCTGAATTAAATTACGCATTAAATTTGTTTGCTAAGACTAGACCTTCCCCTGAACGCATGCTGTAGAAGTTTCACTGAGCGCAGTGGCCCAGGTCAAATGCAATGGTTTCTTGGCCTGATATGCTCTTCTTCTTCTCCTTCTTCTTCCTTTTTTTCACCAGGTCTATCAAACCATAGTTTACTTCATATGGAGGTCACACTAAACTCTGGTTCCCTCAAACTGTGGAAGGAAGGAATCTGAAGAAGTTTGCACACAAGCCCAAAGCCCATTCACAATGCCAACAGTTTTGTTACAGCACGGATGGGGAGTCTGTGGATCTCCAGATGTTGCAGGATTGTACCCCCC